TCATGGTTCCTGCTATGGCTGCCGTTGCCCACCCAAGCTGAACCAGTGCGCAGTGGGGGACACGGCGGGAAGGCGCTTCATGGGTCCTTGTCGTCCCCCTCATCCTCGTCATCTTTCTCCTCCTTCTCCACATTCCCCTCCAGCTTCAGCACGAGGCACAGTGGAGGGCATCTTGACTGGCTGCTGTCGGAGAAGGGCCCGTTCCACAGATGTCCAGAGTACACCGAGTTCAGAGAGAGGTTCCAGCAGGGATTTTCTACCAGATACAAGATTTACAGGTGAGAGATATCTGCACAGAGTGTGTGTGTGTTAGAAGGAGAGAGGAAGCATTGGATTTTAAAAATCAAGTGGAGGGGAAAAGTTTTTTTTCTCACTTAAACCTAAGTGTGTGTCATGCTATCATGCTGCCTGTCTCCTAAATGAGTGCTTCCCATGCAGGTTGGCTTGTGACCTCTTAATACAAAACATCTCTCTTTGAGATCAGAAGAACTTAAACTAGCCAGTATTTTAATAATAAAAGGAATGGACCAATTACCATAGTACAAACAGGCACAATTATCTATAGCATAGCACATTAACTGTATTTTTCTTTCTTTATTTTCTGTTTACAGCGTATATGCTCATTTGGATATTTAGCTAAATAAGATCACAACAACCCAGTGTTCTTGGAAAGAGTCCATATTGAATAATTCTGAATGGCATGATTTATGTCCATTACAAAAGTAGTTATACATTGCAGAGGTCCTGCACCCTTGGTGGTGCAAGCTGTGGTTACATGGGTGTTTGGCAGACTCATGCAGTGGATTGGCTTCACAAAACTGCAGTGGTTTTCCTGCATTGCTGTGTTCTTGTTTTTTTCATAGCAGCCATACACAGATATTGCAGAAAGCAATCATTTAAAACAGCATTAGATGTGATATAGAGTGTTGTATAATGATCCAATGCCTGATTTTGTCTGGTGATGGGGCTGACCACTAATGCTTCCCTCTCCTTAAGTACGTACCATCCTAAAACAGACACAAGCCTGAGTAGAGGAGCTGCCCTAAAAGTAAATTCAGGGAATAAAAGTCCCCACTGTTGTTCTGTAACACTATAAGACCAGTAACAATATACTACCAAACTAATCTTTAACACACCAGTACAGCTGCAAAGCAAATCAGTACACCTCACAGTTAAACTGAAAAATCAAACACCCCAAATTTTAGTTGAAAGAGCAAGCAAAAAAGCAAACAAAAAAAAACATATACCTACAAGCAGAGCTCATGTTGGGAACCAGCACAAGTATAATGATCCAAACTCAATATAGAAAAAAATATGACCACATTAATGCAACACTAACTCTTGAATTCAAACAAGATGCTATGTGTGTTAGAGCATGTAATGAAAAGATGTTCTATATCACTTTTACTCAAAACATATTTTGCCACAAACACCCCTCGTTGTATTAAAATTTGCTGGATGGCTGAAATCTAATTTTATAGCTAGCGATGTGATATGTCTGTTGGTGGAGCAAAGAACTGTGCAACAGTAATATCTCCTTTCAACTCATGAGGGATGATTCTGTGTTTGTGGGCTCGAGGAGATAAGAAGCGAAGGAAAAACATTTCTTTGCATTTGATGAATTTCACCACCACCAGTATGCTCTTTCTTTAACTGCCTACCCTTTTCCTCCTTTAATCTCCTCATCACATTAGTTAATTAACTTGAGATAAGTTGTTTGACATATTTTGTGCTGTTATTTTTGAGTGTAAATTGAGTTTACAGTAAGGTTATCCTGCTGCTTCCTAATTTAACCAAAGTGACTGAGTTCAATGGGAAGCATGGTGATGCAGTGGATAGTGCTGTCACCTCACAGCAAGAAGGTTCTGGTTCGATCCTGGGCCAACCTGGTGCCTTTCTGTGCGGAGTTTGCATGTACTCCCTGTGCCTGAGTGGATTCTCTCTGGGTACTCCAGCTTCCTCCCACAGTCCAAAGACATGCAGCTTAGGTTGAATGGTGGTTCTAAATTGCCGGTAGGAGTGTGTGTGGTTGTCTGTTTCCAGCTGTCAGCCCTGTGACAGACTGGCAGCCTGTCCGGTGTGGACCCTCTTCTCACCCAGTGTCAGGTGGGATTGGCTCCAGCCCCCCCACAACCCTTGTTAGGATAAGCGGTATAGATAATGGATGGATGGATGGACTGAGTTCGACTGATTAAGGAGTGACTAAACATGGATCAGAGGGAATAGCAAATGTACTGTCTCTGCCAGATTAAAGCCAGAGCTTTAAATGTGCTCAGTGTAATATATGACTAGACGAAAGAGGAGCTGTTGTTCATTGTATAGATGTGATTCTGTCAGATTTTTCTTTAATCCCTCAGACTTCTTTGCTGATTCTTTATGTTCTCAATTATGGTTCAGCGGGATCAGAAAAGATGTAATGAAGGCCTGTGTTTATGAGCAGCCATTACAACTTAATATCAATTATATACTGTATAGTGGCTATTATAGTCATAGAAACATAAGCAACATTACATTCAGCTCTGATGATATAGCATTTTGCCTTTTCAGAACAGAACTCCACACAGAAAAACATCTCATTTTTAAATTCTTCAAATTCACACACACACACACACACACACACACACCCATCCTTGTTTTTGTCACTTACCGGGTCCCTACATAGGCTTACATTCATTTCCAGGAGACTAACCCTAACGTTAACCAGAACTTCTACCTTCCTAACCTTAACCCTTACCCTAACACTTAACCAAAGCCTACACTTGCTCTAACCTTACACCCTATCGTTTTCATAAAATTCAACAAACCACGTTGTGGGGACCAGCCTCTGGTCCCCACAGGTGACTTCTGGTCCCCACAAAGATAGTAACTTGTGGATTTTTGGCCGTGCAAGTATTGAAAAACAAGGCCACACACACACACACAATCTATTTCTGTTGAAGCATGGCATTTAAAGGGAGGACTCACACACACTCCTGCAACATTTTTATCAGTCCAAATGATGAATACATCAAGCATAACCCTGAAACTCATTTTATATATAAAGTTTCCCATAGAAAGCGAAATTGGAGATGAAAGAATTTTATTAGTCCTTTCTGGTCTAGATCCAGCATGGTTCAGCATATAGATCAAAGCAGCATCACATTTCAGAACAATAATTACAATTGGTAGAGTACAATTGGTGGGAATACTTTCTCAGTTAACTTTCAGCTGAGTAATGGGTATAGAGTAAGATGTACAGCACAGTCGGATGTGAACACTGAATTTCTAGTGTATCTGTCTTATGGCCCAGCAGCACTCAGAACATATAAAATGATGCATATTACAGTGTTTTTATATGCATGATGTTAATATCATAAAAATGCTACATGGCAATATCACACACAAATAGGACACATTGTAAGAAATATTGACTCAAACTCAGTTATTGTATATATTTTTGTGTTTGCATTAGATCAATTTATGGAAGGAATTACAAAAATTTAGGATATTCAAATTCACTGGGCCTCCTTTTGGTTTAAGTACTATGATTATATTTTTATTTCATCTCTGCTTACAATAAAAAATGTATAACAGAGAACCCCAAAAATAAAGCTAGCTCATTTGGACATGGTTGGCAAGGATTTTACATCCTGCAGTTCCTGGGTTGGGACCCAGAATGTCTTTTACAGGCCACATGTATGCTGCTGGAGAACATGTGCCGGGACAGGGGGTTTGTGTGTGTGTTAAGAGGCTGCTACTGTAGCTTGTGTGGTCTATGAATGATGCAGTGGAGGCCTGCGCCGGGCACAGAGTTCATGTTAGCCTGTCCCCATTATCATTATTTCAAATTTAATACCAAACGTGATAGATATACACTGTACCAGCAGAGGCTGCAATATGAGTTTCCATTTCCTCAACTTGAAATATATTCAGATTTTTTTAACTTTGCCTAGTCGTTTCCTTCCCCTCCCTCCTTCCTTCCCTCCACCCATGAGTGCTTTAAAAATAGATTTTCCTAGCTTGTAGCCATTAAAGTCGTCACAGCCATTTGTACTGTCAGAAACATAGACTAGACTGAAAATGATATGTTCTAATTACCCGTGTTGTGTTTTCCTTCTTTGACGTTATAGGAGTTGACTGTGACTGTGTTTCAAAAGATGCACAGTTGTGTACAGATTGTTTTGAAGTGAGTCATAAAGGTTCCTGCTCACTTTTTCTGTCTCATACCAGTTGTCATTTGTCAACTTTTATTCATCCAGAAAAAACCAGCCGAGTGTGTAAAGATATGTGACAGGTTTGTTTGCAGTTCTTAAGTCACTTTTACTCTCAGCTTGTTCCTGCACTCGCTCCTCGTGGGTCCGGCCTTCCGTTCCCCAGCTCTGCACTCTCCAGCTTTCCATTCCCCAGCTCCACGTGGTCTGCCTGTCTTGTCCCCAGCTCCACGCTGCCTGTCTATCCAGTACCTGCTCTGCCTCTGTCCCATTTCCCCAGCCAGTACCTGCACTCCAACTGCTTCATCTCTCCCCCACCCAGTAACTGACCTCTTATTTGTCTAATAAAAGCCTTTTGTGTTCCACTCCCGGTGTGTGTCTATATGTTGGGTCTACCTGCACCTGCTCCTTGACAAGCAGAGTTTTTCCTCCCCCCCTGCTTCTACCTTCCTTTTTGCAGTCTTCACTTCCTTTCAATCTCTTTAGTCAATTGGAGAGACAGCCTCACTTACAGATGAAGGGGAAGTGTAGTGTGAAATGACAGGTGATGTTTTTGTGACATAAGTGGGACAGATTGTCACAGGACTCCAGTATTTAGCTGCAGGATGAGATTACTGTGTAAAACAGAGTCCAGCAGGTTACTGTCTTCACTGCAAAATTTCAGCTCTCAGATCTTGAATATTTGATTACTAGAATTGAAAACTGCTTACCTACCCAACAAACGAATTTCCAAATAGTCGCATATTCAAGTCCAGCCCTACTTGATTTAAGATATTTCATGTTACTTAGAGGTCACTTTTTGCAGCGTTGAGACAGCCTCAAGTGGCCATAGTAACTATGATATGAAGCCAGTGAGGTAGTTACATGATGTAGTGTTTTGAAGAACAAGGTCCGTACTAGGATGAGGGCTGTGGTGGATAGATGAATCAGATAACAAAGGATTTTCACACAGTCAAACATTGTGCTTTTATTCCACAACCACTCTTCTACCTTAGCTGTGTTTTTTACTATGATGACAAAGGTCATTATTTTAGCTCTAAACCTATCCAAGGTGTTTTTGTGCCTATTAAAAGGAGAACTAACTGGAA